GCAGGGAGCAAGGTCCCCCGGAGTTCCCCCCCACTCCCCCAGATTCCCCCCCCCCCGTTCACAGAAAGAAGAAGGGCTAAGATCAGAAGGCAATTGCAAGAATGCACACAGAGTAACAGATTAATGGCCCGTCGACAGCTACAAGATGAGTCATTACAGGAGCCTTGCTAACTTGCCAGCTGCAGATAAGACTAACTAGGGAAAAGCTACATAAAGCTGGGTGTGAGCTGTTGCCAACTTGTGGAAGCAACACGTCACCTCATAGTGAATCCTGTGACCACAACTCCTAACTCTGCTCTACTCCTGTGACTCTTGGATCAGCTTGACTCTGCTTTTGGACTCTCTCTGACTCTAATAACTGGCCTTGGACTGATTGGACTATGCTGTGAACATTCCTTTGACCTGCTCCTGCCTGTGTGACTTGGACTTGGAGCCTGTGAGACCAGCTGGGCTATGACAAAAAGGAAGCAGAAAACAGCCAGGTCCTTGAGGGCCAGATGGGGCCCCCTGAGGGCTTGATCCGGCCCATGGGCCACATGTTTGACATCCCTGTTCTAGACTTTAAGAGTCAGTGAAACTCAGAAACCTATGCCTGAGTGTTTAAGCAGGAACTGGAAAGAAAGCCTCTCTCCTCAAAGTTTTAGAAGACCTTTCTGAATAGCAGAAACACTTACTTGTTGGCAACAAATTATGTGGAGTTAGTGTGATTACAAAGTTACCTCAGTTTTATTATTGGTTGACTTCATATATCCTACCCGTAATTCCATCTGACCTTTTCTCTTCTAAATAAAACATTTTGTTTATTTTGAACTTTCAAAAGCCTCTTGTGTGCCTTTTCAGAAGATGAATATAAGTAGGTGATTTTGTCTCTTCCCTTGGTTCCCTGGGCTGGGCCAGCATCAAAGTATATATATTAAAGCTACTGGATGAGACAGCCATAGACAAACAAATAAGAAGAAAATAGATACAGGGGCTGCTCAAAAAGAAAGAAGATAAAAGGAAAAATGTTGGGTGTGAGGGAGGGAAGAGAACAAAATCGCCATAACTGCAATCTTTTATCCTTCACAAGTCTTTTCATAACACTAGGTGTTAGACAGGCACTGTCCCTGCCTATTGTCTTAAATTCCCTTGAATAATTCTATTTCCTCCCTTATATCATTTATTTCATCTTTAGAAAATAATGCAAGAGGGACATCATGAAACAGACCTTCCCCCATAATTAAACAAGGATTTTCTAGTTGAATGACAACTGCAGACAGCTCTTAAAAGTGTGATTTTTGGTATTTTAACACAAACATTGTGAAACACCTGGAAGGCAAATAAATCAGAACACATCTCCTCTCCACCACACCATGATGCTAGAAATTCTGCCAAGCAGCACATTTCAATTTCAATGCTACAACCTGGTTGTGTCTCCAGTATTTTCCCCCTCTAAAGAGCATCAGAATATAGTAAGGGGAACAGAAGCATATTAATATTACTACGTTGGCTATTTAGTCAGGCAACTGGTTCAAACTGTGTGCCCTACTGCATTTTAGCATTTGCAAGATACTTCTTGCAATCCCAAATAAAAGACACAGGGCAAACATGCTCTCTTCCCCCACTCTTTTAAAAGGCTTTTTTACAAGCTGTTCAGACAGGATAGGGAGAACATTGTACCTGCAAAGCAAGCTGAGCCCGGAGCTGAAATCTCAGTGTTAAGTCTGAAAACGGAATCTAGCTCAAGATCCTGTACGGGTTCTCTCTTTACAGGTGAACTCTCAGATCAGGATCATGATATGGCATAGGATGGCATTCTGACACTAGCTATGTGACACTGTTACTATTCAACAGGTTTCTTGTGCAATTCCAGAAATTACTCCAAATTCAAATTGCCCATGAAGCTGGAGTAAGAACCTTTCCACCAACAAGATACTGCTGTGTTCCCCCTTGAACAGAAACATATGGAGCTGTCATGCCAAATGAAAAACACTTGTACATTTGCTGTGGTGGAAACTGACCAAGTGGAAAGGCCCTAACACCATCCAGGCAAAAAATTGTTTAAAATGACAATTTTACATCAGTGCCACTAGGCTAAAAACTGGAATAATAATTCATTTTATCTTTAAGGTGATATAACACAGAATTACTCAAATGTTACTAGTTTTGGCTGATATGCCTTTTTTCAGCAGAATATCAAGTATAAGCTGAAACTTAACTGTAAACTATGTGTGCATGGATTTCTATATGCTAAACACCTTAAAAAGTCTCTTGTATTTATTTAAAATAGCCCAGAGCTGCTTTTTACAAAACATTTGGGTTTATATACACTGTACCAGTCATACTGCATTTTTAGGATCACCTTTAGGATCAGTTCCACCACTTCAGTATGCACCAATCCATGGACAGGTTCTCCATTCACATGGGTTATCAAGTCTCCTTCTCTGAGACCTGCCTCACTTGCAGGGCCTTCTTCTTCTACGTGCTGTCAATGATAGAAAAGATGGAGAAAACACTGATTTCCAAAAGTTTCCTCCCCTTCTAGGCTATCCTCTTTACCCATTAACTCTTCCCACAAAACACATAGTGTAGACATTCACACAGCTACTATACACTGTAGAACACATATGTGTGGTAAGACATTTTAGAAATATAGAAAGTTTGGGTTTAAAATGAACCAAATAGTTCATAAAATCCATGTACCTGTTTCTGTCATTGCTAGCAAAACAGCAGACAGCCTTGGCCTGTTTGAATCAAACCCCATGATTCTTTGCAAACCCTGCTCCAAGCAAATTTCTTTCTTGGTCAATATTCCATTCCCAGGAAATCTCCACAGATGTGAGACTTCCCAATACCCCCAATTTCCTAGGCAATAAAATGTGTGGTCATTTGGGAAGTTGGCAGACTTCAATCCAAAAGACAAACTAACTTCCTGAGATACAGAGAGTTCACACACACACACCACTTCAGAGATAACATCAAAGGACAGTTTATTTCCCATGACTGGGAAACACTAGGAGAAAACAATGACACTGTATTGATCCTGTGGAATGTGAACGTTTGTTGTATGAGATGCAAGAAAGCAATTTCCTGTAAACCTCCAAAATGTTAATTTACAAATGTAATTTAATTATTGAGGGACCTTTTTTGGCATAAATACTGGTTAGATTCAACAGACCTTTGCTGGCTCTTGGTAGGAGTCAGCCCGAGAGGCCTCTCGTTCTTTGCATGCTTTGGGGTGGGATAGGACTTTGCTTGCATGTTTATCTTACTGGGTATTTACTATCAATGTTTAGGAGATAGAATTCTACTGTGTTGGCAAGCTGGCATAGCGTCTTGCTGGTCACCTTGCCAGGTAAATCTTTGAATGTTTTTCTTTAATAAAGATAAGTTTTAGTTTAAGAAGAGACCTTTCTGTGTCAGCGCTTAGTGGTTTCCAAGTTTACACCTCTGCCTTTGGTAAGGAGGCATCACTCAGGGGACACGAACCAGAGGGGGAGTGTGGGGACACACATTTTTCTCACAACAATATGGAAGTCAATGAAATGCTTACTATTTCCCTGTCACTTATAGGGATATCACGTAGCTACATTACATTCAGCCAGACTTCTAGGCCTTCAATCTAGCAGCAGTCCACTATGATCTTACATAATGAATCCCCAAGGTCCTTTCCCAGCATTCCTCTAACTGGCATTACATTTGTGGCCTCTTATCTGAAAAGCACATGACTCTAGCACTGATCTATGTTATCAATAAAGAATTTTCTCCCAATACAAATAATTATGAACTTCTGAGAAAAGAAGAGTAAACAGTTGCAACAGTGAAAGCAAATTACCCCAGAAATGACATTATTTCTATTTATGTCACATATTCTGTGTTTGACTGTGTACCTAAATTTTCTACCCATTCCTTGATCAATGGGTATTCAACAGAAAATCCTACTCCATGTTAATATTGTATCACAGTGATTCCCTTCAAATAATAATCTTCGTTTATAATGATACTACCTTCCTTTTTTTCCCACCTGTGAATATTGTGCAATTAAAAATGGCAAACATTTCTGTGATATGGTGTAGGGAGAATGGCTATAGTAAACAGCCACACATTATTTAATGAAGAAAACAAACATACATGTGAAGACTGCCTGAGAATACTGGTGAAATGGAAAACAGCAAGCACACACATAAGCCCCTTGTATAACCCACAGCTGAACTAAATTCCAAATCCCTAGTCAATTCAATAGGAAGACAATGATGCTCTCTACAGCACGTAATTAACTCCAAGCAGATGCATGAAGAATCCTAAGGGAGGGAGATGATATGAGGTAGATCATCCCTATTAATGTATCTCAGAACAGCCATAAAAAGGAGCATATGCACCCCCAGAACATTTGTACAGAAAGGAGTTAAGAAGATTCTAGGAAGTAGTGTCTGGAAGTCTTTTTTTAAACATGGAGAGTGGACTTCCTCCAGTTCATTCCAAGTCATGTTATAGTTGAGAAGAACCCATTAAAATTCAACAGAAACATACCCAGACCATATGATGCACTGTGTAGATATCACTATTTCCCATGTAGACTCTAATAGCACGAAGCGTGAAGCCATATTTCTTCCCAGCTCGGTGAATGATGATTGGTGGTTTTGGGTTTATTACAGCAGGAGAAAAGTCTCGACTAGGAGAGGAGTCCCTCGAAGATGGGTTGGAGGAGAGGGAATGAGGTGACATTGGACTAGCCAATGGGGAACACGTATGATGCTCTACGTGAAAATAAAAGGATTAAAAATTAGAAAGGAAAATACAATTTGCATTAAAATAAAGGAAAATTAAATATCCTGATTGTGTGACACTTGTGGCACATTTTTTCTTGACCAATGTATGAAGTGACTTAAGAATCAGAAAAATATTAGTCAAGCACTTTGCCACAGTTGCCACCTATAACTTAGCTAGCCCACTTCTTTCTTCCTTTATGAAGACAATTCTGTAGCTCACTTGTAAATGTGTGTTTAAATATACTGTGGTGCCTTTAAGTCTAAAATATGAACTGTTTAGTCTATAAGGCACTCTGAATCCTTTTTAAAACTTTTAAATAAAAAATGAACTATAGTTTAACCAATGCTAGGCAGTCACAAATAACCCAATGTGCACCAACAAAGCAAAGCAAATTTAAGGTCAGTTACAGACAATGCTCCTTCTAAGCTGTGGAGTCTTGGGAGCAAAAATTCTACTTTCTGAGCTACCAGCATTAAAGTTGTGAGCAGGTGATTTGACTACTGCATAAATCAGTTTGCTCTGGAGCCATCCTTCCAGAGCTAAGACAAACACCTGTGAGCCAGAGGCTAAAAAACTGTGAGCTAGCTCACACTAACTCAGCTTAGAGGAAACACTGGTTATAGATTATTTTTACTGCATATTTAGACAAGGAAAAACATGCAACATTTTAGAAGTAACAAATGTGTGTGATACGCCGCTCAGACAGTTTTGCCAATAGACTACTCAGACATCTCAAGAAATGATGGTTTGTTTCAGCTGCAGTTTGTTGCACAAAATGCTTGGCTAGTCTATCAGTCATACATAACAGATCACAGCTGTTCATAAATCCTAGTTAGTCTGCTGCTTTCTGACTTTCCTGCCTTCAAGCAAAATACTTTTTGGATACAGAGACCTAGCCACTCCAGCAGCTACCACAGGAGCTTCCAGATTTTGCTGGCAAAGTGTCATTATGCATGCACACAACTTACTTTTGTTGTGGATACAGATAGGGACAAATGGATATGGAACAGGAAGAGGAGTGTAGGACAAGCCTAAGAGATCTTTATGCCACTCACTGTGAAGCCAATCATTAGCTGCCCTCCCCTTCTATCTAGTCATTAACTGCTGTTTCTATATTTTTTACTCTAAAATAAATTAGATCTTAATAGCCCTCATCACACACCACTACCTGACCACAAGTTCTCCCTTACTGTTTTGCCACATTTCCTAACCTTTTTTATCCTCTTAGGCAATCGCCAGGTCATTCACTCACTCCTAGGATATAAATGAGGGTTTGAAAAGGGAAGGAGGGGAAGGGAAGGAGGGTGTGTCCTGGGGAACCACTCATGATAGCTGCTGGTAAAGGTAAAGAAAAAAACACCCAACTTTCTGAATGATAAACGTTACATTAGAAATGCCCCTTAATCAAATAATGTACCCTACCCTCTGTGGATCAGTGCCCCAAAAGCCCAGTTCAGTTTAGCGCTCCTACTTGCTACTGTGTTTGTAATGCCATTTCAGCTACACACCATATTCTGCAGCACACTGAGCTAAGTCACGGCAGTGCAACAGCAAGATAGTTACATTTTCTCATGCCTGCAGTTTTAACACATGCTGATATTATAATGCCCCTGTATATCTATGGAGCGGCCTCATTTGGAATACTGTGTACAGTTCTGGCCACCATATCGCCAAAAGGACACTGCAGAGCTGGAAAAAGTACCCAGGAGGGCACCCCAAGATGATTAGTGGGTTGGAGCATCTTCCCTATGAGGAAAGGCTGGGACTTTTCAGTTTAGAAAACAGACACCTAAGAGGGGGGCATGATAGAGGTTTATAAAATTATGCATGTGGTGGAGAGAGTTGACAAAGAGAATTTTTTTCTCCCTCTCCCAAAATACTAGAACTTGAGAGCATCCAATGCAATTGATGTGCAGTAGGTTCAGAATGGACAAAAGGAAATACTACTTTACACAGAGAGGGATTAAAATGTGGAATTTGCTGCCAGAGGATGTAGTGATGGCCACAAGAATAAACAGCTTGAAAAGGGGATTCAATAGATTCATGGAGGATAAGTCCACCAATGGCTACTAGCCATGGTGACTGAAGGGAAACTCCACATTCAGAAGCACTAAGTCTCTGAATCCCAGAGCCAGGAGGCAACATCAGGAGAAGGCCTTGGCCTCTATCAAGGGTGTAGACTTTCCAATTTCCCGGGGGGGGCTGGGGCTGGGCCAGAGGCATTGCTTTGCTAGGAGCAAGGGTGGCTCCCGGGGGAGGCTGAGCAGCTTCCTGAAAATTTCGGCGGGGGCTGAAGCCCCGCCGCCCCCACGAAGATTACGCCTATGGCCTCTATGCCCTGTTGTTGGCCCTCCAGAGGAACTGGTTGGCTACTGTGTGAGACAGAATGCTGGACTAGATGGACCATCGGTCTGATCCAGCAGGGCTCTTCTTATGTTCATAATGTTCTACATAGCCTTTGCAACCAAATTCACAGCACAACAAACTGTATTTTAAAGAATCATAATGAAGCAGTCACTTATGGTGGCTGTACAAATCACCATGATTTAAATTGCAGTCTTCATAACATTCTCACAAACACAGACCATTCTCTACCACTAGAATAATGTGGTTCTTGGCATGACCATAAAAATATAAGGTGCTTATAAGTCACTCTTATGATTTTGTTGTTGTTGCTGTTTCTTACCTGAAGGAATCAGGAGGGAGAGGGCTGTGGCTGATGCTGACTTAATCACTTTATTGACAGGCCGTGAGGAACGTTTTTCCCCTGACTCCCCAGAGAGTAGCCTATGGCGAGCTCGCCGCACTGCCAAATCACTTGTTGCTTTGTGAGTAGTAAACTCTGGGCCCTCGTTGCTATTACTGCGAGTGCGTTGATCAGAGAAGTCTGCAGTGCTCTCAGCTACAGTTTCAATTAAAATAGATTAGAACCACAGGGAATTTCTAAAAGCCTTTCCCCCTGCAGGCACATATATGAAATCAAAGTCATGTTTATACACAGTCCAACAGTGAACTTTCCTCAGAAGTAAACCCAGGCCCTGAAGCCTTATTTACAGATGCATTTAACTAGGAGTGTCACAATCTCAACAAAATTACCAGCTTTCCTTTTGCTATGAAAATACATAATTAAGATGAAGAGAATAAAAAAGAAACTTGAATAAAACAAATTCTACTACAGTGTTGAAAGTTCTATAAATTTGAGGTTTAGAAGATATAAACAACATGAAGCCTGAGTAAAGCACTTTAATTAGTGTTGTTATCAACAAGACCTGCTGCGGCAAAGACTATAAACTGCCAGCAACTTGTGGGCAAGACAGTTTGCAATACAGAATGACATTATGAGGTAAATGTTTACTATTTTTAACATGACACAAGAGAAAGACAAAGCAGCTTTTTATGGCTGCAACGTGCCTAACTAATGCTCATCATGGGCTGATTGAGATGATCTTCTCTTTCTCATGGTGGGGATGGCCTGCCTTGGCCTCCATTCATCTGTCCCAGCTCTGACAGATTACTTGTGTTGTACAGGGTTACCCTTCCTTGGAACAAAAACTATTATTTTAGGAATTGTTCTAAATGTCCCCAAATGCAATGCTGTATAATGAAAAGCAGGAAAACCCCAAGGCCAAGAAGATACCTTCAGCTGAGAAAGACAAGAGTATCCACTATAGAAACAGGCCAAACTGATCACACAGTGGTTATGCTGAAACTGGTGTGACCAGGGGTCTTTTGGGGCCAGAGCGCGCTGGAGCGCTGCTCCGGGACCTGGCACAAATGGCAGTGGCAGCAAGCCCCGCCCTCAGCTCTCTGCGCTGAGCTCTGTCGGTGGCTTCCCGGGGCCCGTGCCGGAGCGCTACCACCCCAGGGAGGCCAGAGGAGGCCGTCGCTGGCTCCCTGGGACTCGCGCCGGAGCGCTGCTGCCCCAGGGAGGCCAGAGGAGACGCGTTGCCAGCTCCCTGGGGCTTGCGCCAGAGCACTGCCGCCCCAGTGAGGCCAGAGGAGGCCTGTCAGTGGCTCCCTGGGGCTCACGCTGGAGCGCTACGGCCCCAGGAACACCCCAGGCGGCCCGTCGCTGGCTCCCTGGGGCCCGCGTGGGAGCGCTGCAGCCCCAGGGAGGCCACAGAAGGCATGTCACCAGGAGCTGGCACAAATGGCGGTGGCAGCAAGCCCTGCCCCCAGCTCTCTGCGCTGAGGTCTGTCGCCGGCGTCCTGGGGCCCGCGCCAGAGCGCTGCCACCCCAGGGAGGCCAGAGGAGGCCCATTGCCCGCCCCTTGGGGCTCGCGCAGGAGCGCTGCCGCCCCAGGGAGAGCAGAGGAGGCCCGTTGTCAGCTCCCTGGGACTCGTGCTGGAGCACTGCCGCCCCAGGGAGAGCAGAGGAGGCCTGTCACCGGCTCCCTGGGGCCTGCGCCGGAGCACTGAAGCCCGGGGGAGGCCAGAAGACGCTCCCCGCCGCCTCCCGGGGTAAGTGAGGGATCTGCGGGGGGTGGCGGAGGCTTGATTGGGGGAGTGGGGGGGTAAGAGAGACTCCCCCCTCCCCCATCTCTTTGCCCTCTTTCTTCCCCTCCTTTCCTTCCCCTCCTTTCCTTCCCCTTCTTTTCTTTCTTCCTCTCTTTTCCTTCTTCTTTCCTTCTCTC